AACCTCTTCTCAAGCCATTCCCTCCCTCATTTACTCTAGACTTCCTCACATTGGCTTCTTTTCTGTTCCTTGACTGTGCTTAGCTGCTCCCCACCTCAGCACTACTGTTCCCTCAGCCTGAAATACTCTTTCCAGATCTCAGCATGGCGGCTCCTTCTCACCGTCCAGGTCTCACCTTAACTGTCATCTCCTTTAAGAGGCCTCCCAGGACCATCTGCTCTGAAAGTGCCCCCCCCCAAACATGTTTCACATTAGTTTTATTGTATTCATAGCCCTATCTGGAATTGTCTGATTGTTTATATCTCTCCCCACCAGTGAGGCCCCAGCACTCAAAACAACTTAGTACAAAACATTCATTTTAAATGCTTGTTAGAATAAATGAAGGGATCAGGGCTCTAGTCCCAGGCTTGCAGTCTACGAGTTGGCCTGGCATAAGAATTTCTTCTATGGAGGGTCTGTAGCCATGGCGACAAGCCTCTTGGTGGGTTTGTACATGAGGCCCAAGGAGAGGGCAGTAGCAGTAGAGGCAACAGAGAAAGAGTTGCAGAAGCTGCATTATGAAAATGTTATGGCCCACTATCGGCTGGGCCTCCCAGCCAGTGTTATATCCAGAACACAACAAAGGACGTCTCACTTTCCCTTGAGGCCTGGCCATGTGGCTGCCAAGATGGCTTCCTGGTTGTCTTCACTTCAGTGTGCACCCATATAATCAACCTTCATCTTCTGATGTGTCCTGAGGGTTTCTGGTGACCTGAAAGAACCTAACATACACCATCCTGCAACCCCCTCCTCCTCATAACATGAGCTAACAGAAGGCAGGAACCACATTCAACTCATCCCTGGTCCATATGAAGACTAGAACAGCTTATCCATAGTACATATTCAAATATACCCCAACTTCAACTAAAATCTTGAAGCATTTCCAACCATGGACCCCCCCCCCCCCGCCAACACACACACGCACACATTAACACTGTTCACACAAGATTAGTTCAGTTATTTCACCAAATACATCAGTTTGCTCCCCAAACACCAGTATGACATGTTGGGTCTGGCATCCTTTGCCCACTCACAGGACTCCATTCTCACTCTTACGTTGAGTTTTCTTTTCCTTCTTAAACCAGTAATGTTTCAAACTTGGTTCAGCAACCTCATGGAAAAAAGGGAGAACCAAGCCTTCTGAAGGACAGATGGACAGAGGTCATTTCCTTCAATGGCAGACATGGCTGTGGCCTCAGGAATGACCTGAGGCAGACCAGGTGAAAACACAGAATGGGGTGCGGTAGTTTGGGATGTCAAGGGCCAACAATGGTGGGCGTGGAGGGGGCAGGGGACTGGAAACCAAAAGAACTTTAAATGTTATGGAAAAAGCCTTGGCCAGCTGGATGTGGCAGGGGCAGAGGAGTTTGTAAAAATGCCCAGGTTCTCAGAAAAGGTAACCCACGCAGTCAGCACAGAAGGAGGCATTCAGAGGCATTAGGGGCAGAGAAGGAACTCTTCCGGTTTAGACCTGTTCCAATGGTGAGGTGACACTGATGTTCCCCAGGAAGTCAGCCGTGTCCAGGTGGGGCTCCAGGGAGAGGTCANTGAAGAATACATCAGAGGAAATCAACAGTAGATTAGATGAAGCAGAGGATAGAATCAGCGTTTTGGAAGAGAAGGTTGCAGAAACACCCAATCAGAACAGCAAAGAGAAAAAATCCCCCAAAATGAGGGTAGTTTAAGGGGTCTCTGAGACAACATCAAGCATACGAACTAACATTCACATTATAGGGGTACCAGAAGGAGAAGAGAGAGAGAGCAAGGAATTGAAAACCTATTTGAAGAAATGACAGAAAACTTCCCTAACCTGGCAAAAGAAATAGACATACAAGCCCAGAAAGTGCAGAGAATCCCAAACAAGATGAATCCAAACAGGCCCACACTAAGATACATCATAATTAAAATGGCAAAGGTTAAAGACAATCCTAAAAGCAGCAAGAGACAAGCAGTTACCTATAAGGAAGCTCCCATAAGACTGTCTACTGATTTCTCAACAGACACTTTGCAGGCCAGAAGGGACTATAGCACAAAATATTGAAAGTGATGAAAAGCAAAGACCTACAACTAAGATTGCTTTACCCAGCAAGGATATCATTTAAAATTGAAGGATAAAGAGCTTCCCAGATAAGAAAAAGCTAAAGGAGCTCATCATCTCCAAACCAGTATTACAAGAAATGTTAAAGGGACTTCTTTAAAAGAAAGAAAAATAAAAAATATGAATACAATGGCAATAACTACATATATCAACAGTTACTTTAAATGGATTAAATGCTCCAATCAAAAGACATAGATAGGGCGGGGGTGGCTGGTTGGCTCAGTTCGTTAGAGCGCAGTGCTCATAACATCAAGGTTGCTGGTTCGATCCAAGCATGGGCCACTGAGTTGTGCCCTCCACAACTAGATTGAAACAACTACTTGACTTGGAGCTGATGGGTCCTGGAAAAATACACTGTTCCCCAACGAAATTAAAAACAAAAAAAAGGACATAGAGTGGCTGAATGGATAAGAAAACAAAACCCTTACATATGCTGCCTACAAGAGGCTCAATTCAGATCAAAAGACACACACAGACTGAAAGTAAAGGGATGGGAGAAGATATTTCATGAAAATGGAAACAAAAACAAAAGGCTGGGGCAGGAATACTTATACCAAACAAAATGACTTTAAAACAAAGGCTATAACAAGGGACAAAGAAGGACTCAGTAATCCCACTTCTGGGGATTTATCAAAAGAAACCCCAAACACTACTTTGAAGGGACATGTGCATCCATATGTTCATTGCAGCATTGTTTACAACGGCCAAGATATGGAGGCAACCTGGGTATCCATCAGCGAATGAATGGATTAAGAAATGGTTCATATGTACAATGGAATATACTCAGCCATAAAAAAAAGAATGAAATCTTGCTATCTGCAACAACCCGGATGGACCTAGAGGGTATTATGCTGAGTGTAGTAAGCCAGACAGAGAAAGACAAATGTCAAATGATTTCACTTATATGTGGACTCTAAAGAATAGAACGACCAATCAAAACAGAAACAAGTTCATAGATACAGACAGCATTTGATTGTTGCCGGATGCTGGGATTGTGAAGGGGTGGAGGAAATATGTGATATGTGAAGGGGTGGAGGAAATTAAGAGGTACAAGTTGGTAGTTACAAAATAGTCATGGGGATTTAGAGTATAGCATGGGGAATATAGTTAGTGGTATTGTAATAACTGTGTATGGTGTCAGATGGGTACTGGATTTATCAGGGTGATCACTTTGTAAGTTATATAAATGTCTAATCACTGTGTTGTACACCTGAAACGAATATAATATTGTATGTCAATTATAATTGAAAAATAAAAAAAATATTTTTAAAAATTGCCCAGAAGATTCTAATATGTAGCCAGGGTTGAGAATCACTATCCCAGAGTACGTGTATTTTGAAAAAGTTCCCCTGGGTTAACAACCACCTTATAGTTTCACTGAAATATATAGACAGGATGACCTAGAAGTTGGATTTGGGGGAGAGGGAGAAAGAAAGCCTGCATACCTCTTTTGGGAACACCAGAACCGGCTGCCCCTGGTTGAGCTCCACTCAGCATTGCATGGGGGAAACTTCTGCTTCACTTTCAGTTCTTGTTTATTTGCTTCCAAGCCTTTGGTGATCATGGCTTCTACCTGGCTCAGTTCTGACGTAGGTCGCCCATCCTCTCCGTAGAACCTTCCTATCACCCTTCCTGTGGTGACAGGAAAGCTGATGTCAGAGTCACAGTGGGAGGGAGGCATGAACGGATGCTCAGCTTCTCAATCAGTTGTAGTAAAGCCCAGGTTCCCGGGCTTCTGATTTCAGGGCTCTTATTTATTAAGAATTCATATGGGAGGAACCTGTGGTGTTTTATCCCTGTCTCTCGACATCCGAAAGACTCCAGATAGAAGCATCCCTGTTCTAGTTGTAAAGTCCTCCGGTGTGGAAATTATAAAATCTGTCTCACTTCCAGACGTCAGTTCCCTGACAGTGGAACTATGTGTGATTTTTTTGATGCTCCACAGTGCTTGAGGCACAATGTAGGTGTTCAATAAGTATTTGACGAATAAATGGCTTACTGTGTAACATTTTTGTGGCTCAATTCTTCCCAACATTGAATTACTTTGTCTTATATAACTATAAATAAACCACTTATTGAACATTTAGTCAGTGTCAGTGCTGTGTTAGCACTTCAGCAATACTTTGTGAATCCTCATAACCCTATGAGAGAAGTCAGTGTTCTCATATTCATAGGAGAGAGACTGGGAGATTAAGTCACTGGGGAGTCTATGAAGCTAGTAAGTGGGTCTGGACCAAAGCTCATGCTCTCCCTTCCACCATTCTCTTCTGGCTCAGTCCTTCAGTGGATGAACTGAGTGGAAACTGGTTTTAGTTTAAAATCCCTGTCAGAATTGTTAAAGATCTAAGCTATGGCAGCAGCCAGCGAGTGGTCAGTGAGCCTGTAGGCCAAATGCAAAAAGGGATCCGTTCTTCTTAGGTGCAGGGCCCTGAAGTGCAAGTGGCCTTCACAGGCAGCACTTGTCACAGGGCGAGAGAAGGAGCAGAAAGCACCTATTGAAGGTTTGACCACGTAGGAGGAGGTAGCAGTAGATACCTGCCCCAGCTGTGCCTGTACAATCTCTGCAGGCCCTGAGAACTGATTAACTTAGATTCCAGTGGCACTCACGTTCAGCGCACCCAAGAGTCACTTCATCCTCTCAAGTCCAGCTCCCTCTCTGGACTTTTCCAATTCTATTTATGTCACTTTTGGCCTTTGTTACCTGGTTAGGAGCCCTGGACCTCTCTGATGTCTCCTC